AACATTGCTGACTTAGGACAGCTTATATATAAAATAATTTATATAAAAGTGGAGTTGAACATGTTTTGTGGCCAGCCAACCTTCCCCCTTTATGTTAATGATACTGAGCAAAAATCTATTGAAAATAATTAATAGGAATGTTTAAATCCATTACAAGATAGAAGTAACTTATTTAAAAATTACACTTAAAAATGCAGACCCCGCGCTAAATCTAAGTGCATTAAATACGTTATTGCCAGATTCTGGACCCAAACGCAAATTCAAAGCATGTGAATGACTGAATTGTAGCACTTAACAAAAGTATGAAAATAGAAAATAATAAATTAAAAGAGAAACTTTTCAAAAATACCATAACTTTTTAAAGACCCCTGAGTTTATATGGAAATTTAAAAAATAATAATAATTTTTTTTAAATTTTTGGAATAAAGTTAACTGTAACTAGGAAAAATGATAAAATATATATATATATATATATATATATATATATATATATATATATATATATATTCCTTTTCTCCCCACCCCAATACATCACATGCGCGCGTCTACTTGTTAAATGGTGGCATTGGGGAGCGAATTGCGTAACTTTTAAGCGGTAGTTAAGGGATTAGTTATAAACAGTACTAATTATCAAGATAAGGGTTCATTTTTGTATATAGTTTTATGTATGACAAGCCCATAGGGTCATTGGTAATTTTTAAACTTGTTCTTAACAGGATTGTTAAATTAATTATAAAACACATTGGTGCAATACTAATACATTTATAAATGTATTATATCAGTGCAAATGTGTATTTTATATTTTATTTTGTCTGCATGTATTTTGTTTACTTTCAGTAAATTAATAATTCTTTTAAAGAATCTTTTGTTTTCGACTTTTCAGTATGATCGCCCCACGTAGAGTTATCAAGTCCCTAGGGGCGCACCCCACAGTTTGAGAATCGCTGCCTTAAACATTCAAGATATCATTAAATTAATATAAAAAATAAGTAAACGTTATCTGTAAAATATAATATCTGCACGAAGCGAAACAATATTTATACCTTACATCAAAAATTCTCTGACCGATCAATTTTTTTGGATCAAATAATATTTCTTTTATAGAAGGATGTGAACATTTTTCTTATAGTAGGATGTGAACGTTTCTCTTAAGAAAAGTATAGTAAAATTTGTTAAAAGTAACCGCTTTGCCCAACCCTAGATAAGTTTCTCTTAATTTCGGATTGAGAATTCCAATCTTCATCTGATTATTGATGCTGAAATTATTTTTACATTTCACATTATCATTACATTACATTTGGAATCCATTGCTGGAACAATCTGTGGAGGTAAAAGTAAGCTTAGCCCTTTATCAACCGACGGTTTATAAGTACCATTCACTTTAAAATTACATAAAATAACCATTTTTACGAATATTTTGACGATACTTATCAGGAATATTCTTTGAAATCCACTCTTTCAAGATGTATGGCAACATGGGTTCTATGATGAGTATTTTAGCGGGGAAGGCGAATAGTTTTATAGCAGAAATTGTGTTTTCAGCGGATTGCGAAGATTGTAATTTTTGTTCCGAAAAAAAAAGTTAATGTAAAAAGGTAAGATTCTTACTTTTTTGGTATGTTAATGAAGACCTTAGAAAACGATTTGACTATTTATTTAAGTGGACAGTGTGTGTAATTAATTTTACAGTTGAATATCTTTAATTAATTAATTAGCTCTAACTAATTAAATTTCCCAAAGTTGAGTATTTTGCTTATGCATATCTCTTAGTTTTCAATGTAATGATCCGAAAAAAATATTGCATGAAAAACTGCAGTAAATCAAAATGCGGTCGATAAAGGGTTAATATTACTTGTGTGCTTTAAATTAGAAAATGTCCTTAAAATTCATTAATTTTAATATAAAATTATTTTCTTAATATTAAAAATACAGTGACACATTCGACATTGTTTTTTCTCCCCCCCCCTTTTTTTTTGATGGGTAAGATACATAAAATAAACATATATTAATTTTAAAAAAGGTGTGAATAATTACTTTTTTAAATATATAGTGTTTATGAACTCAAAATTTGTTTTATGTGGTTTATAAAGTATATTAAAGAGATGAACCTCTATATAAAGAATTTTTTTCCGGGATTTAGTGACTTCGTTTTATAGAGGTCCGACTGTATATATATCGGTTTCAAAAACGTTAAATGGAAGTCGAATTAAAATACTTAGCGTGTTAAAGATAAAGTCCGCCTTTTTCTTCTGAAAACTTCCGAGATTTTATACATAATCAGATTTATTATGTTTAAAATTATTTAAAATTCAATGAATCTTTTGAAAAATTCGTTATTTTAATAAATTTTTTTGTCTCAAATCTATGTCAAGCATATCAATAAAATGTTTTAAAACTTAAGAATAACAGAAAAAATGGCGTTTTTTAAGGCAAAAAGCAAACAAGAGAATTTTCCTGAAATTGCCTCAGATTCGAATGGAAGGCCACTAAAGGGCCTTCAGGGGACCATTCGTGGTCGGAGGGCCACGAGTTGAAGACCCCTAATTTACAACTTAATTCAAGAAATTTCACCCGCTTTGCAACATATTCGACCTAGTGGCAATGTGTATTTATTTATTTATTTATTTTCGAGGAATTTTCAATCGTTTATAAAATACATTTTAAAGCGCTGAATTCAGCTGAAATTTTATATACGTGATTATTTTGGATGACAATACAATAATTTAATTATAATTAATAAAAATTTATTGATTAAAACTAACTTAAAGAATTACAAATACTGCTACGTTGGCATCATTTTTGGCGACAGCGACTCTTTTGGCGACATGTGTCAAAACTTGAAAAGGTTTTCACATTTTATAGTGCTCATTTGAGCTGAAGTTTTCTATACACGATTGTTTTGGATGGCAATACGACACTTAAATGATAATGAATAAAAATTAATCACCACTTAATGTTCTGATTCTGTCCTATATATATACATATTTATATTAGTTGTAACTATGTAATAAAAAGTAGCTAAAATAAAATTTTTCTTTGTTAATCTAAGTAGGAATTGACTTAAAAAAAATTTTTTTTTTATATTACTTGTTTTCAATTCGACATATATACGAGTGTTGAATTTTGAATAAAGTTTTTTAAGAAAAATTGCACTCTTCGGCTTGCATTTGGAAATATACGGTATTTCTCAAATATTTAAAAACACTTTTTGTTTAGTTGTCAAACGTTAAAATAGTTTAAGGGAAAGGAAAATGAATTGATTTACTCATTATCCTATACTTAAACATAATTGTTAACATTTCTATAAAAAAGTTTTTATATTATAACATAATGTTTATTAACATAAAAGAGAATTTTGAAGTATTCTTAAAGGATCTATATGAAAAAAGAAAGAAATGGCTTTTTTTTTTAAACAAATCGAAAGATCTCTCGTTTTAGAACTAGGATTACTTCAAACGCAATGCCATCCAGATCTTGCACTGTAAAGACAAGCATAATCAAATCTGTATCTTTCTCCGATATCCATTTCTCTCTAAACGACAGTGGGGAGGAAAGAAATATATGGAGATATACTTTTCCGGAAAACACCGAAAATGGATCGAAACAACCCGAATAACGAAATCACATGCTCAGAGTGGGATGTGTCGAGACCTGCTACCGAAAAATCCCTATCGGATCATTGTCTCCCGATCGAAAGCAAAAATTTCCCTTAAAACCATCCAACAATATCAAAATATTTCCCCAGGAGGGCAATCGATTAAAGAGGGGAAGAGAACGAAAAATTCCCAAAAAGAACACAGTTCGTTCTTTATGCCAAGTTCAATCTGAAATTTTCATCGGCAATGGCGTGTCCGTGGGAATTTTTTCCCCCCACCTTTTTCCCTTTGTCTCTGTAATCATTCGGGTGGTTGTGTTCCGAATGTGGTTCGTTTGAGGGAACAATAAGATCCACAATGGGGAACAATTCAGTGAAATTTCCTTTTTGAAAGGGGGGATCACAGACAAATTGCGGAGACAGCATTCGCTTAATGCCGCGTAAACATTGAACGGAAAACCGTGTGTTTCTGGTGGTTGGGGGAAACCAAGATTTAGGCTTTGGTCAAAAAAGATAGCTCCATGTTGCTCTGTATAAAGAGATGGAAAATTAGATATATATAATTCTGAAATTATTCTTAAATAGATTAGGTAGTGTGCTGCACAAAGAAGATAATTTTTTGTAAAATAAATATAAAGATCTTAATTCTTTATCAATCAGTTTTAAAATTCTTTGTATAAAGTAAACAAACAATATAAAAAAATTTTTTTTAAGTCAATTCTAGCGTGAGTGAGTGAATATTAACGTCGCACTGTTCAGCTACACGAGGGCTTTTGGCGAAGGACCACGTAATTTAGAACCATGGTCAAGTGACGTGGACGACACCTGAGCTGGCACCCCCCTCTCCTAACTACCACACCACACCAACGGGAGGACGTTTCAGCGCTCGACAGATTTAACGTGCATCGCTGCCCTACACGGCGGGTCTTTAGTGGTACAGGGCTCGAACTCATGACATGCCTGCCATGATCCGATACCTTAACCACTAGGCTACCGCAGCCCCTAAGTCAATTCTAGCATAGGTCAACAAAGAAAAATTTTATTTCAGTTATTTTTTATTAAATAATTACAATTAATATAAATATGGTATACAAGTATGACAGAATCACAATATTGAGTGGCAAAATAGAAAGCAATTTTACTTGCAATTTTCCATTTTCCTTTCTGTATACGGTGTTGAACTATTATTTTTGTTTGTTACTATTTATATATTCATTCATAAATCACATTCCCAGAAATTAGGCCATCCCAGGTGAGATTCGAACCCACAACCTTTGGATTAGAAGTCTAACGCGCTATCCGTTGGGCTACAGGGTCACAAAGAGCGATTTTGCATTCTATATATGCTGTTGGATTATTATTTTTGTTACTATTTATTCATCCATAAATCACATTCCTAGAAATCAGGCCATCCCAGGTGAGATTCGAACCCACGACCTTTGGATTAGAAGTCCAACGCGCTATCCATTGGGCTACAGGGTCACAAAGAGCTATTTTCCATTCTATATATGCTGTTGGATTATTATTTTTGTTGCTATTTATTAATTAAATTTTTTATGAATTAATATTTGAAAAAAACTGTATTAACATCAAGTGTCATCCACTATAAGTTTAAAAAAATATATTTGAACTTGAATGGGTGAATAGAATGTATTTTATTAACGATTGGAAACTTAAACAAGATATATATTTAGGAGATGGTAGACTAATAGTAGGAATGGAAAAAGAGGGAAAGGGTTAAATTTATAGAGTTGTAAATCTCAAATAAAACTTAAATATTTCAATAATTCAATAATGTGTGTGTGTGAAACCTTAAATAATTCAATATATGGAATGTAACAAATACTGTATATATATAGTTTTCTTAAAGAGAAAAAATGGCAGATGTTCGACAAATTCGATTAAGAATGGGTTAAATTCATGACGATGACATGATAAATAGAATCATGCCTGCTTTGAATTTTTTAAAATTTCGATGTGGTCTCAACTGAATTCAAATTTGATAACAGGGTAAAAATGTTCGAAAAATAAGATTATTTAAAAAGTTAAAAATTTTTTAAAAAATTTCATTATATGTGTCAGATGCATTTCGTTTGCCTATGTACGTTATTATTGTCGACAAATATGTACTGTTAAAAGAAGGTTCTGCAAATAGCAAAAGGTGCCAACAGCAAAGCCCTTGAACTAATTGGCTGGAAACACGTGATTGCATTTATTATATGACTATGACGTCACATGAATTATGTCCATTTGAAAGTTCCTCTTAAATTTAGGCAAAACAATTGACGCACAGTGGGGAAAAACAGTTTTAATAATCGCATATAATTTTCCGCAATTCGAAAATGCGATGAAATAATTGCCAGGTTCAGTAACAAAAGGTATACCAATAATCATTGATAGTCACTTCGAAGACTAACGGCGGTTTCTCTGAATGTTTTTAAATTCCAAAAGACGTCATTTCAATTAAGAAAGAAATAATCTGAGAATTGATATTATTAATTAAGGACTGGAAGCGTTAACTGGAAGCAGCCATTTTGGATCTGTGTTTTTACGAATGAAAAAAATTACGGATTTCCTCGTTGTCTGATTTTGCTTACCTTAATTATAAATTAATTTATTTCCTTCATTCTCATTTTAATTCTATTTGTTACTATAACTCCGATTAAGCTTAAAAGTTGCCATATAACAAAATTGTGACTTAACAGATTTTTTTTTAAAAAAATTTGAATTATGATGTTTTTTGTGATGTTTCGAAGTATAATAAAATAAAATAAGAAATCAAGTGAAAAAGTTGTAAAACCTACAAAGCCTAAGAGGAAAGAAATTGGAATTGGAGTTCAAGAGACACAACAAATGTAGATACAAAGGAATCTTTGGACTAAACAGGAGACCTATTAAGATTTCTAGAGCTGTAGCTGAATTAGGCCAGTGATTTAGGGTTAAGCAATGCTTTATGGATCCACCTTCCCCGTACAGCAGAAATTTTCGACATAATAAAAAAAAACAATATATATACATCTTGCCCGTCTTTAAGGTATTACAAATTTTGGTATGACATACAAGCACATTATATTTTATTAATACAAATTTTTACACAAAACACGTATTATATTATTATCATGGATGTCAATTAATGTTTTTTCAAGAAATCTACGTAAAAGCCGGTCATAGTTAAACACTTAGGTGATATCTTAGACAAATGTTAGAATTTTATATTTTTCTTAGATATAAAGCAATATATCGGAATACAAACTGCTTATTTTTTCTAAAAATAGTTTTTAACCAGATATTGAATGAGGAAAAAAAAAGTCTTGAAAATTATTTTAATGAAATTCAGTTAATCTATGACTTAAGATAAAAATTACGAGAAGATCCATTGAAAAGAAATATATCAATCAAACAGGATACAAAAGGATATGTGCATTATCAGAGACATGCTAAAACCGATCTCCAAAATTAAAAAGCTCACGAATCCAAGATAATCTGTACGAAACTTAAAACTGATAAAACCTGATAAAATCATAATCTCTACCAATTTTTTTTATCAAGTTTTCAAGATAATTTTAATAAAGTTTTATACAGAATTTTAATAAGTAGTTATAGCAAATCAAAATAATTTGATAAAATAGCTTTCAATTTTTAAACTTTTGAAAAATATTAAGCGGGCGGAATAGTAGTCTCTATTCCTGATGCCATTAAATACCCTTCATGTTGAAAGAAGATGATGTGCACTAAATCTATAGTTCTCACATTGGCATTGTGTGGAAGTTTGGAGAGTGCAGTGCTAGCTCATGCGTTGTCGTTATTTCACCATATTTTTAAATTACGAAGTACTTCTTCAATATTCCTCATGTCGCTTCGCGATGGCTCATGCCATTAATAAATAATCAATAAGTAAATGATCATCAAAACAATAAGCGAGTGTAAGATTAAGGTATCCGACTACGTTCGGAACCGTGATTTTGCAAAAGCGTATAAATGGATAATTTTCATGATATTTAGTGTCACTTAGATTAGAAAAAGTATATAAAATTGTTTTAAGAATAGTATTAAAATAAAAAATTACTTAAGTACAATATTTCGGCAAAAAATTAACTTAGAATGACCTACTTTCAAAATGTTCTCCTTTTGTGAAAAATGCTTTTATTATAATAATATTTTGCCTGTATATAGCTCAGACCTCTGTACAGAGGCTCAACCAGAATTTTTGAAATATATAACATAGAAGTGGGTTTATCTATGTTTTACGACAACAGAGGGGAGAAATTTTAAGAAAAAAACGTCGATAATTATATTTCAATGGGTTGTAACTCTGAAAATAATTTGAATTTTTGAAAAATCATAGTTGAGCCTCTGTACAGAGGTCTGAGATATATACAGGCAAAATATTATTATAATAGAAGCATTTTTCACAAAGAAAATTTGAAATTATTCCAAGTTCATTTTGCAATATCTTTTAAATATATTTTTTTGTCAAAATGTCCTTAAAGCAATTTTATACATGCATTCTAATCTAAGTGACACTAAATATCATGAAAATTAACTATTTATGCGCTTTTTTAAAATCACGGTTCCGAACGTAGTCGGATACCTTAAGGACTTTTAAGAACTTAAACCAGTGTTTCTCAAACTGTGGGGTGCAGATCCCCACGAGGGGGTGTGATACTCCATTGAAAGGGGCGCAAGAATGCTGAAAAGTTGAAAAAAAGAGTATTTAAAAGAAATCATTTATTGAAAGTAAACAAACAAAATACATTATGACATGATAAAAAATTTAAAAAAAACATTTACACTATATAATACACTTATAAATGTAGTAAAAGTACAGCATAATATATTTTAAAATAAATTTAACAATACTATGTAAAGAATAAGTTTAATAATTACCAGTGACTCCACGAATTTGTCATAAATAAAATTATGTGAAAATTAACTGTTATGTTGATAATTTGTGTGGTTTATAATTAATCCCTTAACTGCCGATTAAAAGTTACGTGGTTTGCTCCACAATGCCACCGTACTGCCCGTATGCATGCGTATGTGATGTATTGGGGGAAAAAAGACATGGAATAAATAAGAAAATCCTCTGACATAAGTAAATCCTTCGCACGCACTGTCAAGGTCATTTTATTGGATTCCAAAGCCTTCGGGATAATTTTATGGATAGCAGTGAACAGAGAAGATCGTATTTCGCGGAAAGACGTGTATATACGCCCGGGGCAATTATCCTGTTGTTTGAGCGAGTCGTTTATATACGACGGAGACACTTCAGAGATTGAAGTCTTATTGTAGCTTTAGTGTCACAAAGTATAGTATTATTGAATACAATACATTGTTATTTTTATGTGGTGGGGGTGATGAAAATTATGATTGAATATTGGGTCGCAAGTATTGGAAGTTTGAGAAGCACTGACTTAAACAATAAATATTTTGCATGGTTAGAATTACAAATCATTGAATCATTGAATTACAAATCATTTATTTATTCATTTTTCTTCCCTTCACTTGATACTTTTTTAAATGCCTTTTAAATAAAGTTTTTAATACAAATTCCACATAATATAGAAATATACTGTTTGTAAAAATATGAAGTACATAATTTTTTAAAAAACATAATCATTTCAAATATCAACTTTGTGTCCAAATTAAACATTCGTTAAAATAAAATTAATATATCAATATCCACAAACATAATCATCGCTTCCATCGAGATCAATCTTAGAATTTAATCTCAATTTTTGCTGGAAAGCTAAATTAAATCCACAAAATTAAATTAAAATTCATAAATGCTTTTGAGGAACTTGGAAATAGAAGAACTCTTGCTTAACCAATACATTCCAATAACAACTTGTATAACTCAGCGTAACCAGAACAAAACTTAACTACAAACCGACCCATAAATAACAATACCAAAAATAAAACAGAACGGAAGTAAAAATAACAACACAGGCACCCCCATTCGTTAAACTTCTTTTAAAATTTAAAACCACAAAGTGACGTGGCAGATTTGCTGATGGTCCAAAATGGTTTGCGGGTGTTCGAGGGCAGGATGGGAAGCCAATGCTCTTAGAAACGTGCACCCCAATCAACTCCACACCACCCCCACTAACAACACAATGCGAAACGAGCGTGGGGGTTATAAAGCGACGGGGGAGGTGGGGGAAGGAAATACTACAGAACCTATAATTTATGCGAAGCGGAGGCCATATTTGAAGGTCCGCGGTCCAGGCTTAAAACCGCAAGGGGATATTGTGGCTGCTCCGATCAAATGATCGATCTTGGAACCTATTAGTGATGCAAATGAATGCACAGCGGATGGGGGGACTCCGCGGGGCGGGATCTACTCGTCACCCACCCCTTCTCAGCTCCCCATTCGTAAAGATCGGGCTTCATTTGCTTCGCTTAACGTTTGCGATTTTTCTTGGAGGGTGATGATTCTTTTCTTAGTTTCTTCTTTTTTTTTATATACATTTAAATCTTTT